TAAGTAAGGCTGATATCGATGAGGCAACAATATTGAAAGAGGTCGGTGTTGGCACGTCACAAGTAATGAACTATTTAACGCAGCAGGCATGGGGCTATCATAATGTTGGATTTACACATAAAGACCTCTACAATGCACTTCAAAGAGGTAAATCAAAGGAAGCATTGTTATAGAATACTCTAACTAGGTTGGGGTAATATTTTGGTTCTACACCAAGGAATTCAAGCCAACCCCAAGATGTAAATATGGATTTAAAACAAAAACCATATTTATCATCAAACAAGAAACCCAAGTCAATGACACGTTCGGGATGAATTTTCCTTACTTTGAAATTGCTCGGCCATCTTTCTTTCTCCTCATCGAATCTAAAGTTCAGTGTTTCGAATGACATGATTTGCTCAAAAAAACCAATTGGTTCAGAAGGAGGTTGTAGTTGAGAAGAGCTTGGTTGAGAAGAGCTTTGAGAAAGACCGCTCCTCTGACACTGATGTTTTGGAGCCGTTTTGGGTGTGGATGCTATTACATTGGAATACAAACACATTAAGGAAAGAAAATAGTCCAATATGGAAATCAATCAAACCCATAAAAAATCGATAAAGTTACCTGAATATCTGATCGAAACTGTTATGAGAACGCTTGTATTTGTCGGAGTGGAAGAGTTCTCCTCTGCCTTTAGTTTTAGGGTTTTTAATTTGGAGTTTGTATCGATTATAATCTATAAATAATGAAGGGGAAAAAACATATGAAATTTAAAAATGTATCGACACAAATTTAAAATGTGTTTATACATTATGTAGACTTATTCTCTCATAAAACCGGTCTATTTATACCGGTTACATTGAAACATTACCTATTACATTGTAATTATGGGTTTAGATGTTTTTGGGATTGACACTTATTATAAATGCATCGACACTTTATGCGTGCACCCCTTTTGGGCATTCATTCTGGAAAAAAAGTATCGACACAAATTCCACAAGTGTAGATACATTATGTATACATATTCTATCATAAAACCGGAATATTTATACCGATTACATTGAAATTTTACATATTACATTGTAATTATGGGTTTCGATTTTTTGGCATCGACACTTTTTAAAATGTATCGACACTTTATGTGTGCACCCCTTTTGGGCATTCATTCTGGACAAAAAGTATCGACACAAATCCTACAAGTTTTGATACATTATGTAGACCTATTCTCTCATAAAACTGGTCTATTTATACCGGTTACATTGAAAAATTACCTCTTACATTGTAATTATGGGTTTCGATGTTCTTGGGATCGACACTTCTTATAAATGTATCGACACTTTATGCGTGCACCCCTTTTGGACATTCATTCTGGTCAAAAAGTATCGACACAAATTCCACAATTGTCGATACATTATGTAGACCTATTCTCTCATAAAACTGGTCTATTTATACCGGTTACATTGAAAAATTACCTCTTACATTGTAATTATGGGTTTCGATGTTCTTGGGATCGACACTTCTTATAAATGTATCGACACTTTATGCGTGCACCCCTTTTGGGCATTCATTCTGGACAAAAAGTATTGACACAAATTCCACAAGTGTCGATACATTATGTAGACCTATTCTCTCATAAAACCGGTCTATTTATACCGGTTATATTGAAAAATTACATATTACATTGTAATTATGGGTTTCGATGTTCTTGGGATCGACACTTATTATAAATGTATCGACACTTTATGCTTGCACCCCTTTTGGGTATTCATTTTGGACAAAAAGTATCGACACAAATTCCACAAGTGTCGATACATTATGTAGACCTATTCTCTCATAAAATCGGTCTATTTATACCGGTTACATTGAAAATTTACCTATTATATTGTAATTATGGGTTTCGATGTTCTTGGGATCGACACTTCTTATAAATGTATCGACACATATGTTTACCTATTCTCTCATTAAACCGATATATTTTACCTATTACTTTATAATAATTGGCTTCGATGTTTTTAGGATTGATACTTACAATAAATATATCGACATATTTTTTTGGAAACTTTACGTTTGGGAACCATACTGGACAAAATATTGGAAACAAATCCTTGTGTTTATTAATTTTTTCATTAAAAAGATCTATTTTTACCACCTACATTGTAAATTTACCTTTTACTTTAAAGTTATTGAATTTTGTAGTTATTGTACATACCTAAATATGGAATGGCCATTCAGTCCCGCACATGATGACAATTATGTTAGTGACTTTTGGAATAATGCAGAGAATGATCTCTATATATCGTAAGTATCAACATGACTCCTACTGTGTATAAGAAACATGTACAACAACCTATTGCTAACTTTTCTCATCTCATACATAATTACATTCACATACAAAATTATAAATCGTATACAAAATTATAAATTTTATACAAAATTAACCCTACATTTACATCATCGATACCTTTTATTATTCTTGTGGCTCATGGCAGCTTTTGTAATCTCCTCTCTTAGTTTATTTTGATTGTGGTTTACGAGATCGTTTAATATTCGTGGTTGATCCCAATGTCCAACAACCTATATTCAAATTGTCAGTATGTTAAGTATTGTAAACCACAGCATTCAATCTACGACTTTTAACAATTTAACCGCAAACTAATTTTTAATTCCACTTACAAAATCACCAGTTCCCCCTCTTGAACCGATCGATTCCATCCACATCATCACATAAATGCCACAATCATTTTTGTTACAAAATTTGAATACCACACATGTCAATTATGAAACCTACATAAATTAAGCTTTCTATTTATGATAACATCTCATACCCATTCAATTGCTCATTCATCTTATGCTCCACAAATTTGAAATTTTTCAAGGGGACCTTTCCTAGAGAGCCACATGTTTCTACCCAATATCATTTCTTATTATAACTATCTAATATTTTTATCTGTATTAAAAAATATGAAGTTATGATTCAAACAAATTATGCATTATAATTTACATAATTTCCTTTATACATACCAATCTCTTAGCATCATTCACTCTCTGTTTAGCTACTTTAGATGTAAACAGACTATCATATACCGTTGCAACACGATCTACCATATTCAACACCAACACATGCCAATGTGAATTGGCGTAGTTTATTGTGATCATGATCTGCAACAAATTTCACACCCAATTTGACAAAATTCAACAATATATGTTCAAAAACATCATTTGCAATTCGTATGGTGTCTTACCTTCTTACAGTCGGTGAATTTCACATAGTTACCCAATATAAAACCCCAAAAGCTCACAATTTCCTCAACATTTACTTTGATTTTGCTATCCAACGCCTGTTGATATAATTACGCGACAATCATTATTAATTTACCGTCTATAACACTATTTTTCAACATTTATTAATTTAACTCACCGCTAAGTGGTATGGAAGGTAGCCAATCCTCCGGAGTGACTTTTTAGAATCGTAGCATATTGTCCAGGCGAGCAAATCAATAACCTAACAAAATTAATTACACAATCAGAATATATTCAAAATGTTTTAAAATTTTGTACTTTCTACTTACCACACCGCCAACCATTCCGTAGGCTTCAATGTTGCAACGTCGGATACAATAGCGTATTGATTTCCCATTGAGATTACAGAATATCTGTATGAATCATTAGGATTAATATCTTGTCATGAAATATTTAAATATCACTCACAAAGCAATATATTTCACTTACCCTGATTCTAACCTACTATTCCATAAATAATCACACATTGCAGCTTCGAGGTCATCAATTTCGCTTGGAATATCCGTTTTGTCAACCTACAATTTTGCATACAAATTTTTGTCACAACAACATGATAAAAATCAAATTAAATTTTCTTTTATTCAACTAACCTTCTGCTTCTTCTTCTGGGGTGCAGGACATTTCGAATCCAAATCTGTATCTATAACACTCTTCGGTGTATAGATCACATCGACATCTTTCCTCCTCATTTCCTCCATCTTTTCTTCTTCATATTTTTTCAGTTCATCGTATTTTTGCTCTACATAGCTCTTCATCTCTTTTATTTCACCCTTCATTTTTTCCCCTTTATTCAAGTTTTTCTCAACCACCCCTTCACCCCCATAAGTTCACTCCTCAATTCCACAACCTCCTTGACCACTCCATCAATTTTTCCACCCATCACTATCTTAAGTTCACCCCCTCAACACCTCAACTTCTTCTACCACTCCATCTATTTTTCCTTTCATTTACCCTTATACCTCTCAAGTGTCTCTTCGACTCTTGATTGTCTTTACACAATATCAAAAAGGATTTTTTTATATTAGCCAATTCAGACATCAAAATGTCGAATTTACTTTGTTTACCCTCACCGTCATCCCCCCGACCGTCATCCACCTCTACAACCATCTCTTATTCCTTATCCTCTGCCTCATATGCCTCTTTGCCAATAACTTTCAAAATTAAATTACAATATTAAGACATTGATTATATTCTTAATATTATTTAATTACATTTATTACCCTTTCTTACTTCCTCGGTCTATCCGACTTCAACTTCGCCATCACTCTAACCACCTCTTCCTTCCCCCATGCACGGATGCGTGCCACTCAGGTTCTTTCATAAGCCGACAAACTATCACAGCCCGACCAAAAATTGAACAATGCAATCTGCATTTATAATAAAATTTATCATTTTATATAATAACTATAATATCATTTTATCTCTGACTGCCTTTTTAAAAGTTGATTATTGATTCAATCAATTTTGAATGGACATATTCAGCCCAATTGAATTCACCCTTCAAGCCTTCATCGCAAATGAGCTTCATAATGTCCTTGTTTGTTGACGTATCATCTGTTGGACAAAGAAAGATCCCGATAAGGTACAATAGAACTCGGGCCTTCAGGTCATCCCCCCGTAAGATCCACTTTTGATATCCTCTTCAACTTTAGCATATGTCACCTTCTGTTTCAAACCATATTTGGAGGCAAGTGCTTTCCAGTTCTTAGTCTTACAGACTTCTACAACACTTCTTCCTTCGTTTCGTACCCCCAAGACGGCTGCAGCACATGGAAATAAATAATCACCATATTTACCAATACATTGTTGTACATCAAATTGCTCCATCAAGGATCGACACAATTCCCTCCGAATAGGTCGATCCCTTACTCTTACCAACAATCCAAACCTTATTTCTACCAGCACATTCAACTGATCATTCTCTTTAAGGTGTTCAATTAATGAATTCACCCTTTTTATGTTGCACTTTGTATACACTACGTACATTTTTTAACAATATATAATGTTATTATTCTTATATATTTTGTATCAACGTACTTACAAGTTTAATAAACACCTTCTTTTCATGTGCTTTCATCCATTCTTTGTATTCTTCAATATCCTTCTTTGACTGTGTGATGAAAGGTTCCTTCTCAGCATCACTCATCGAATTCCATTTCTCTAACACATTATCTCTCACCTAAAATTAAGCATAAATGTTTCTTAATCATTAACGATAAATAATACTCAATGTCAAATTTAATTTACATACCGAACCGATGTGTTTGTCACATTCCTTCAGCTTTTGGCATTTGATCATACTGTCAACATTTAAAATTTGTAATCAATTTAAGGTTCTTAAATACTTTTATCAAATTATCATTTCAACAATAATAACAAAAAGACATTGATACTTACTAGAAGTACATATATCCACCCTTTGGTTGCTTTCGACTCTCGGACTCAATTTCAAAGTCATCTTCGCTACCAACAATTCCAAGATCCTTTGACTTCATTTTTCCTTCATATATTAGTTTACACAAATCAAATCAAATACTGGTTACATAACTTTATTCAATATAAAAATATCGATAACTACTCTTGTAGTAAAACGATTTCCTTCAAAAGAATTTGAATGTCTACTATAACAAGTGTCGACACATTTATGCAACCTACAATATCATTTTCTAGCTATAATATTATAAACAGGTATCACATATATCCATATTTATTTTTTACCTATAATATTATATAATTGGTCCCAAATTCTTCTTGGCTTCGATTCTTAATCCCCAAACCAACCCCAAAAACCCTAATATATATTTCCTTCAAGCGAATGGGAACACTCAGTACTCCAAGTATCGGCATATTTATACAACCTATAATATCATTTTCTAACTATAATATTTAATAAAAGTGTCGATATTTATATTTTACCTAGAATATCACTTTCTACCAGTAATCGGTCACAAATGTTTCTTTTCTTAGAAAACCCCAAACAACACATAAAAACTCTATTTCCGATTACTGTAATAATAAAAAACTAGGGTTTCGACAATGTACTTTTTGATTCGACTGTAGCAACCAACAAACAAACTTCGCTTTAGAAACGCCTTCTGAAATGCAGAAAAAATTACGCTTCGATTTCAAAAACTCCTCTGTCCGTGTTCTGAAATGCCCTTTATATTTTCACCGGATATGTTATTTATATTTAATAGATACAATAACCCAAGTGTCGATACATTTTTATAAAGTATCGACACTTTATATGCGCTATTACTGCTTCTCTTTTAAATTCCAAAAGTGTCGATACTTATAATAAAGTATCGACACTTTTAACATATCTGGTGGCTCTTTACCAGTTTTGTCAACCGGTTTTATCATATTTTTACATGTTATATTGTTATAGATCGATACATTTTTATAAAGTATCGACACTTTATAGGCGCTATTACTGCTTCTTTTTTAAATTCCAAAAGTGTCGATTCTTATAATAAAATATCGACAATTTTAACATATTCGGTGGTTCTTTACCGGTTTTGTAATTTTTAGACTGGTTTTATCATATTTTTACTTGTTATATTGTTATGGATCAATACATTTTTTTAAAATATCGACACTTTATAAACGCTATTACTGCTTGTCTTTTAAATTCCAAAAGTGTTGATACTTATAGTAAAGTATCGACACTTTCAACATATCCGGTAGCGCTTTACCGGTTTTGTCATTTTGAGACCGGTTTTGTCATATTTTTACGTGTTATATTGCTACGGATCGATACATTTTTTATTTGTATCGACACAAACCGACAAGCTAGGTTTGCCGGTTGCCAAATCTTTTAATATTTCTTCATGATTTCCACTTACAACATTATTATTACTCAATATTTTCAGTAGCACTAAACCGATTTTTTTAAATATATTTTAATGTATCTAGTCACGCCATATATTAGTCATATATTAATCCACCTTTCCTGAGACAACTTCGTTTCCCTTCCCCTTTAAACGCTCAACGCCATCGCTCCCTTCTCACTCTTAAGACCCCGCCACGCCACTGATTGGCTTCAGGTAAGGGAGTCGTTCGTTATCCATGAACCTCGTTTTGTTTTCGTCATTGTTGTACATCGTTGGGTCGCGAAAACCCGCGACTCTTGGTTCATTTTCTCGATCATTCGCGATGTCGTGATCGTTCGTGGGTGTTGAAGCGTTCGATCAGCCTCACCTTCGTCAGAGGAGGCCCCTACGGCTTTTGGTTCTCTTCTGCCAGGTACTTTGAAGGTCGGGATCGGCCTCTGTACTACCTCTGTCTCGCCCTTGCCGCCGCCATCGGCCGTTCTAGGTTACGTCAAGTGCGACCGTGATACCCCCGACCCTTGGGGGTTGCTGCCGGTGCAACCCATCGCCAACAGTTCCACTTTTCTTGTACTGGCAGTAGCCGTATTCGAACGAAACTCCACTTCCTATTCTCTGATCGAGTCAAATAAATATCGTCATCGTTAAATAATATTTCTGTAAACTGATTATTGGTTGGGATCAAATAGTGGCGTTATTCTTTTCCAGGCAACTCTGAACCATGAACCGAGTTACCTCCTCTGCCACCGTTACCTGCGAACTTCTCACCGAACCGTATAGCCCGTGTAGATCGTGAGTAGTAACTGACAAGTTTAGTTCATTAATTTTTTTAATTGATTTAGAACGAGTTATTCATTTAAATTATTTGTCTGCATCCTACTCGAGTTGAACGTGAGAGGTGTAATTATCATCGTTAGCAAAATATGTTGTGAATTTGAAAATATTTAATTATGATAAAATGTTGAATTCAAATTATATGTTATGCATTCAAAAATTATGTAAATATATTTATATTCGGATCTGGATTAGAATTTATGTATGTATCTTATATTGTCATGTCATTTTGGGTTTGGATTGATAGGGGAAGTTTAGTGTTTTCACCTTTCACTTCAGATTTAGTGGCCTCTACCTTTATGGTAGACCCCACTTCGAATGGTGTTAGTAACTAGAGTTGTTTTGGGGAACTTACTCTTTGGATGGTGTAAGATGTTTGGGTGCACATTCATTGCATATTTAATTGAATTGTGAATATTTTGTTGAATTAAATTGTATGTTGTCATGTTATGTTTTATTTGTGACTGATGCACTATGGAGACACACTAAGGCTTATAGCTTACCCTTATTTAGTTTCCTCTTTCAGATTCTCGAGCTAGGTGGACCGATATTTGGAGTTGCCTTTAAATTCGGACTCTATTATTTATTTTCATAATGACATTTATCCAAACTTTTGATTTATTATTTTTATTGTTACTTAATTTGGATATTATTTAGTATGGTTAGAAATTTTGGGGACATTGATCTTAAATTTTATTTTGGATCGTGAACTTGAGTTTGGATCCAATAAATATATTATTTTTATTATATTTTGAATTACTTTGGTTACATTATTTATTTGTAATAATTATATGTGAGAGAATGTTTTAGAGGGATTTTAATTCACCTTTTGGGCTAATTTTGGGAAATTTTGTTAATAGGCCTTCCGGATCTGGCCTCTTTCATCTAGGTCGGGTCAAACGGTTTACATGAAGGCTTGGAGAAGAAGAAGACAAAGTCTTTTGTGAGGAAAAATAGATATCATCCGTGATATCACCAATTCTTAATGGTTTTCAGCTTTAATTTTATATCATAGTATACTTACTTCATTGTCCTCTTGATTTTAATCACGAACTAAAAATATCATTTTTATCCACTATTGGACTCAATCCAAGCCTAATTTCACTTAAACTTGGGTCAATGTTTCCTAGAAGCCATGGATTTTATCCAAAGCCCAATTCATATTAACCTGGTTAACCTGGGATTTGGGACGTTACACAACTAATAATTATTTTCATGCTTGTCTCTTGTTCCCATATGTAATGGGGTAAGGGGGAGGTAAGATAGTAGGCTGGCCCCCAACACCAGGTTGAGAGCAGCTTCCGTAGAAGACATCCGAATTATGAAATGCCCTCCGTGGGACTCGATCCCACGACCTCAAGGTTAAGAACCTTGTGCTCTACCAACTGAGCTGGATAGTCATCTCAAAATGTCATACAATAAACAAAGGTATTATACTGGACCTACCAATAACATTATAAAAAAGTAGATAATCAAAATTTATTTAGAACCATAATAGAGGGATTAAAACGATAATAAATTTGATTAAGTTTGTAGGGTTAATCAGTTGTATAGGTGCTGAACTACATGTGCTTTTCATAAATAGTAAATTTCACAATTATCAAGTAAGATACTGCTTACAGCACCAGTTTTTACATGTGGGGATGGTACATATGAATGACTTACATGTAGGGTTAAATCACATTTTAAACTTCAATACAAGAATTCCAGTTGATTCTTCCATCATCTGCAATGCAATCCTATCTTCCTCTCCCGTTAGACTTCCACCTTCGATCTCATCCACTGTAGTCGAAGACGACGATCCCGACGACCCATCTTCCAATGCTATTGTATTAACCTCATTACTATTATTCCCGAACGCGACCTTCATGACCCAATTTGAACTCGACCGAGTCCCAGCATGTTTTTGCCACACCCCGATAGGAGCATTATCAGTGTCAAGCCTAAGGCAAGTCGAAGGAGATTGGTCTTTGCAGCACTTTTTGAGCTTAGCATTCAAAAGCTCGGAAAGTGCCTTGGGAGGCAATGGGGACTCCCCATCACATGCATATGTGTGAGCCTTGGGGAAATTGGTCTTTGCATTTTGGCCATTAATCAAGATAGCAGCTTGATCGTACGCTCTCGCAGCCCGATCATTACCCTCATCTTCCTGCAAACATCTAAAAACACTAAAAAAAAAAGACAAAACACATACATATCTGTGGGGGGTAATAAATGTAATTGTTTAATATGGAAGTGATGAGGTTTGTGCGATAGTTTGTAAGAGGGGGATGGGATGTATTGTTTTACCGTATAAGAGGGATAAAAAGTTATATATGAGCTGTCTTGGTGTACTAGTTCACAAGAAATAATACTGTACAATTAAGATTTTCACCTACACACATTCATGTAAGAATTAGGTTACAACTATTTAGTAAAATAACAATTTCGAGTAAGGTCGAGTTCATAAAATTCGAGTTGAATCAAGTTATTTGAGTTTTTATTTAAATTTAGTTATAAATATTTTTAATGTTATGATATTATTTGATTTCAATTTAAATGGTTTTCTATAATCATATGAAATATACATATATATTTTTTCGTATTTTTCACATGCGATATATATATATAGTTGAGAGACTTGACTCGAACTTAAAAATCAATATGTATAATTTAAGGTTGTCGAATTTTATTGTTGTATTATAATTTAAGGTCTAGGAAGCATACATATTTTGAAAAATGCATATATTTTGATTTTTAATTTATATTATTATTATTATTATTATTATTATTATTATTATTGATATTAATTAAATTTAGATTATTTCAATTCAAATTCAATCTGATGTACGCATAGATTATAATAATTGGTATTGATTTTATTTGAATTGATTTAATATAAAATCAGTTTAATTCATTAAATTTTTAGTCGAATTCATATTATAAATAATAGTTATATATTTGAATAATTATAATAAATTTGGATTTGAGAAATATATCTTTATATACTTTAATTAATTTAGTCATTGATATAACAATTAATAATAGATTAATTCACATGCTTTAATTAATCTCTCAATCGGATTAAAATTTAAACCAAATTAATTAAATTATTTAAAATCAATTAATTAAAATTTTGTAGAGTTTTGGTAAAATTCTAAATTTAAATAATTCTGGATTCATTCAATGTAGCTAAAGAGCCAAATTTTCAATAATATTTCTTACGTGGCGTGTCCCAATTGGTTGTAGACAGTGCCTCACAATTTAAGGAGAAAAATCGAAGAAGCTGATGTGTAGCTAAAATGGAACCTAAAGTTTTTTTTTTTTTTTTAATTTTTGTTCAAGAGGAAATAAAAGAAGCGAAGCGCGCTTCGTAGTAAGCATAAACACAGTGACTCTGTGAGTTGGTGCGTGATTGCACGTGGGAGAGGCGGAGATAGATAGAGAGAGAGAGGACAATAACTTGAATGGAAAGAACCACGGAAACGACGCCGTCCTAATCAATGCAAGAAGAGGCAGCAACCGAGCGCGGCGCCGGCGGTAAACTAAGGAGGCAACCGCCGCGTCGACCACCGGCAACACCCTACGCCCGTCCTCAGCAGAACCAATCCCTACGCGGCCGCTTGCACTCCAAACTTGTTGATCCCGCTTGCCGTCTCATAGTCGGCGGGGCCACTAGGATCTTACCCTCTCTCTTCAAATCCTTCAGCATCGATTCTCTCCCGCCGCCAGAACCACAAGCTCATGGTTAGTTATATATATTTTGAGAAACCACATCCCTGTTGAGACTTCTCTCTTCGTAGGGAGTAATTTGGGTTCCTTAGGGTTTTAGAGATACTTATTATTTTAGGTGAATGGAATCGGGGGGAATTTTTTTTCCAATGATTTTCTATATATCCTTATAGTTGTTATTAAATGTTGAATTGCTGTCATTTGTTGTTGAAGTTTGGTATTTCTGTTGGAAACAGTTCAGTTTGATGGAGATATAGAAGAATATGATAATGAAGAAGACCAAAATTGTGCAACAGTAAGTGTTTCGTAGTAAGCAAAATTTTGGTAAATCACATTTTACTTTCTTTATTTAAGTGAAAAATTGTTAATTTTGAGCTCTTCTTGATGGCCTGGCTTGAGTAAGTAGTTTTGCATTCCATTTCTAGTTTGTTGAATCCAAAACAGCTGGTACTAGTGGGGAAACCGATGGACCAAAGGCTGGTTCTGACTCCGCTGAAAATAGAAAAGGCCACCAACGTGACACTAACGATGATGGGATTTCAGAAATTGAGAAGCTAGTGAAGGGGAAAACATTTTCGAGGTGACTTGTTTTTTGTTGTTGCCACTTATACATGCTATGTGTTCATAAATTGTAAACTCCCTTATTTCTGCCAAGAATTACTGGTATAAAATCGTCAGAACATTAATTATAGCCATATCCCAAGTCCCAGCCATTATGGACGAGTTTGGTTTTGATATTAATGATTCATTCATCACCTTTTGTGCATATTCACACATCCATGTTTGTCTCAATCTTTCAGGGTGATCATTTAGTTAGTGGAAAGAGTTGACTATCTAATGTGTTTTAACATTTATATATATATCCAGGGATGAAATAAATCGTCTGATTGAGATTATAAATTCAAAGGATGCTGATGTTCCTAAAGTTAATCAGGAAAGTAAGGATTTAATCCTGTCTACCGGAAGACCCGAGGGACCTATAGTTGCTACAAACCTGAGAAGGCAAACCAAAGAAAAACAGGATGATCTAAATAAAGCTGTCAGAGATCTGGAAACCCCACTTCCTAAGCCAACTGTGAGTGAAAATCACTATTCGGAACTTGTATTGGATCAATGGTATGCACATGAAATACTGAGGTTGAATGCTGTGTCATGTGTTAGTTTATGAATATGTTGTGATACTTGAGCAAAAAAATGGAAAAAGTATTCTTCTTGTAGTTAGACTTAATTAGACTATGTTGTCCCAAATCTTTATTTTTTAGAAGCACTCATCTGCAACACATTACAGATGGATATAGGATGGTGGTCCTACCTTTTAAATATGTGGAAAAATGTTTAGGGAAAATTTAATATGGCCACGTGACACACTTGGATACACACTTTTAGTCTGAGTAACATAGCTTGTAGAAACACACGTATATTTAAAAAAACAATTATTTGAACTCATAACTATTATATTATTTTCACTTTAATGTAATTAATCTTCACTGAAAATGATGTAGGAAAAAGGAGTTACATCAAATTAAGGTGATCTATATGTAGGATAGGCAAGAACTTGTAATTTTAGGCTTGAGTGCATGGGAGAGAGTCTGATTTCTGGTTGGTTTTTTTTTAAAAAAAGACTTATCTTTAATATCATAAGCAAACAAAAAAGTAATATTTCTGGTTGGTATTGAAAAGAAAAGACCTATATTTTTTCATATTTATACATAAATGCTTACAAAACAAGCTATGCGTGTTGTACCTGACTTCACTCTAGTGTGCGGTATTTTGCACTTTGCGCCTCAAAAGTATAAGAGTTATAGTGCCTGGGGTGTGCCTTGCGCCTTGGCTACACTGGGTTAAGCTCTTGAAAGTAAATTAAATGGTTACGCTAGCTGTTGGTTGAAATTAAATGGTTACTCTAGCTGTCGGTTGGGAAGAGGAAGATTGGTTACGATGAGCCTTGTCGGAGTTGCCTGCATTTGAGGGTGTTAATTTTCCTCCCATGTATAGAAGCTTATATACTTTTAAAAAATCTCTTCTTATTTCTCTCTGATATGCATGTGTGTGATTGCACAAATGTGATATTTTTCATACCCATCATATATCAATGCACCTGTACGGTTAAGTGCAATGAAATTTTATGTGCTTGTCCCCCTGATCTCTTTTCTTTTCTCTGTCTATCTGAAATTCTATGAAATATTGCAGCTTCTAGATGAAACTGCACCTTCACCAATTGAAATTGCAAAAGCGTACATGGCAAATCGAACATCAGAAGTTAACCTAGGTTCAAAAAGTATTATATCAAAAGAAGAAAGACAAACGATGCTGGCTGATGATTTTGCGTCAGAACCATTTGCTCCATTTGCTTCCCCAAAGCCATCAGCAGGTTGGCCAGTTTCCATGGTGCTGGATCAACGTGGTTACTTAACTCCTCAAAGTCAAAGAAGTAGATTCGGGCTTCATAATATTCCAAGAACCCCTTACTCCAGAACAATCTATTCAAAATCTAAATCCAAGGTGTGGAATTTTAAAATTTTGTTTTGTGTTCCATCACGGTTTACATTTGATGATTGTTAGAGGTTTTCTTTTTCTTGTTCTTTGCATTTAATCAGCTGGCTCATGTACGAGACGAGAGTGATGGTTTCCTGAATGGTTCATTTTCTCCCTTGCAGCGATCACAAACTCATGCATATGGGCAGGTAATTTTTCATGATTAGTGGTTTTGATTTGAGGGTACTACTGATTATCCTTATAGTATAGTGCTAAATTTTTATACATACACATTAAAGATAACATTATTTTTCTGATATACCTTCTGTAAATTGAGGGGGAAAAAGGAGACATTTTAAATGATGGATAATATTGTAAATATCTGCACTCCATTCTCCTCTTCTTTTCCTCATATCTTATCTTACCAATTTGGAATTATTTTATTTTATGCATGAGGGTGGAAAATAGTCATATTTCCTATTTTCTTTCCTTTCACTTCTCTTTCCTACCTAGCGCGCTTAGAATTTATTTTCTTTCTACTTTTGTACGCTATCAAGTATACCATTAGGCTTGCCTGGTGCATGCTTTCTAGGAAGGATATAAATGGGCAATGAAGGAAAAGTGTTTAATCCAACAGTTAAGCTACATGTTTGAAAGTGATTATGAAACCTAATTATTAGATTAAAATTTCTTATCTTCATTCCTTTATATCTTTCCTGCCAGGCAAAGCCTTAGGGGGAAAATGTGCTCTTTAGTTGGACATAGCCTTATCTGTGTTTGTGTGTTTAATTCAAAGCTGGACAGATCTGAAAGCTGAATAAAGTAGTATTTATCATGGTGTAGCAGCTAATGCTATTTGCAACTTGCAGTTGATGATTTGAATTCTTATCTGTACATCTATTTGACTTGAGTTGTTCGTTTGATTTTTGAACACTTGATTGAAGTTGAGGAGAAATGTAATGGATAATGGCCAGGGGTCTGTGGGACCCATTCGCAGGATTCGGCATAAGGGCACTGCAGAAACTCCATCCAGAGGATCTGTTTATTCTCATTCATCATTGAATGGTTCTTTTCCAGTAGTAAATTCCAATATTCCCAAAGGTCTTTCTCCTTCTATCAAGAGGACTATGGAACAGGGAGGCACTAGTAGCTCTTCAGTTTTCCAGCTGGTAGATAAAAATAGAAGCTCTGAAATGGGTATGCCACCTGTTCATCCCCATTCCAGTCAGATGGCTAGGACAATATTGGACCACCTTGACCGAACTCTAGTGACTCCAAAGGAGAAGTCTGAGGAGTTAAAGGCAGCTACTTCATGGAAAATATCTCAATCTTCGGATGCTAATGCTGCTGTTTTAACGGGGTATAACAATGTGCCAAATTTAGGACTTGATTATTCTAAAAGCAAGGATAAAATCAACAGTAGAAGTCCTGCTCTTCCCTGGGATGAAAAGTCAATTTCTGTGGCTTCTCCAGAGAGTAATATGAAGAAAACAAATTCTACTTCAAATTTAGAAGTTGATAGGAGTAGGACTGCTACAATGTTAGGTAGTAATGCAGTGTCGTCAATAGATAGTGGAAAAACTCGGGATTCACAAATGAAGACCGCACATAAGGTATTTCATTCATCCTATTATTGTTATTCTGTGGCCGTGAGTGATCTTATTAGGTCTTGTGCATTCCCTACTAATGTATTATTCTCGTGCCTTAATGCTAATCATTCTGCTAAGTACTTCCCTAAGTATAAACTATATTTTGTTGAGGGGGAATTTAACCATTTCCGCCTAATATCTACTGAAGGATACTATATAGGAAATAATATATATCTTTTATTATTAACTGCATTCTTGTACATATATTGAGATCCAATTTCTGCCATTATGTTTGAAAGTAAAAGATGCATAACCTTTTCTATTAGGCATAGAAGGTGATAATATACACAATCTTTTTATCTCCCTCTCTTAAATCAACCTTGAAATTTGGTTGAGTTCACGAATCTGGGTAATCATTATACGACGCAGGAGAATTAATCACACATTGTCAATTTGTTTTGGTCTATTAGTTACTTAAACTTTTGTTACATCAAAGAATGGCATACTCATCAATTTATTGGACAGGATCTTCCAAATTTAACTGGTGTTCCAGTGTTTGGGGCCGTTGCATCCGAGGGTCTACAAAAGCCTTCATCAAATTCTTCAGGAAATAAACCCGTTTTGGCTTCTATTTCTGTCACCAAGCCTGAGCAAAGGTGGATGTTTACTCCGGATAATAGCACCGGTTTCACTTTCCAGGTTTCTGCATCTTCTGGCATGTCTTCTGAGCCGCCAACACCAACCATTGTACCGTCGATTTTGGGTAGCAGTCAGCATCAACCCAAAGAGGAGCTTACAGGACCTACATATACTTTTGGCTTGAACAGATCTTCCCCTGCTCTTGTTTTCTCTTTCCCTTTGACAAGCAGCGCCCCAAACCACATCGATGCATCGGATATTACCTTCAACTTCGGACCTGAAAGGTCATCAAGGATATCTTTCAGTTCTATCGGAAAAGACGCCACTTGCCATTGACACAGATATCCATGTTCTTATTTTCCTCTTTTGGTTTCTTTGGGACTGTAGCAAGTTGGACTCCAGATTTCATCAATTAGAATCAGCAAAGGCAAAGACTTGTCTAAAGCCGAAACTTGGTTGGATTCAGTTAGTGCTAGAACATAGTGCTCCTTTGGTTATACTTCAACCTGTATTATGCTTGCTTGGTTAGTTCATGAGGTTGTCTTAAAACAAACTGGGATTTATCTTAAAGAGCTAAATTACAGAATCATCCTCCAGTAAAGCCAAGAAAAGCTTTGCAACAAATTTTGTACTTGGCTCTTTACCCGTGAACAATGCGATTTTCTCACACTTTCTAGAGGATTGTGTTATTCCCATTTTTGGGGTTGTATCTTCCAAGATAAGATGATAAATAATGAAGATGAGGATGAGGATGGACGTGGCACACTTGATGTTCACACGTTTACATCTTATATATTTTATAGTTTAATTTATTTTTTAATTAATAATAGCAATTAACTTTATTAAATAAAAAGTATTTTAAAATTATAGGAGTATACAAAGACAAGAACAAATTAATCCACAAGGCTCCCGTAAAGTTTTGAAAATTTTAAGGTTTTTTCAAACTGTGTTGTCAAGTCATTTACAACTATCAGAGTTAATATCAAATTTGGAAGGCTTAAAATTCTAACCAAACAACTCAAATAAATTATATATGTAAACACATAATTGTCGAAGGTGAAAAACAAATAAAATTTACACTAACATAAAAAAAATACAACAATGATGACTCATTGACAAACTAACTTACTACAGCTCAATAGCAATTTATCTTAGATAATGACAAACTGAAATTAGCACTTAACACACGACTCAATTGTAATATATTTTTTATGATTACGAAGATCTATCAATATTAATAATAGATCAATAGAATAAATAAAATGATAAATTATGCGTTCGGTACTTATTAGAGCAAAACAATCTTGAGAAAAAAAATGTCTTATAAGAGCAAAACATAGAACGTGCTACAAGAATAAATAAAATGGTAAATTACGCTTTTGGTACTTTCTTGTTAGTTTTTGTTTGTTTTAGTATCTAAAATTTCAATTTTTTAAAAGTCATATCTAAATTTTAGTTTTTGTTTCATTTTAGTACCTCACAGTTAAAAACTATAGTTTTTGTTTCATTTTAGTACATCATTCAAAATTTAACATTAAGTTTTGAAAAGATGAAAAATTTAGATACTAAAACGGATAAAAACTTATAGTTTAGGTACTAAACGCATTAAGTTTTTAACGGCGGAGAGGTACTATAATGAAATAAAAATTAAACGTTAGGTATAATTATGAAATATTAAAATTTAGATACTAAAACAGATCATAATTGATAGTTTAGATACTAAATGTATAATTTATCCTAAATAAAATCATCCATTATTTCCGAACGAAAAGAGAAAAATTAATTTGAAAAGAAAACATAACTCGGATTATAAGAGAGGAGGAAAAAAGTAAAAGGAAACAAAAAAAAAATAGGGTAAACTACATGTTTAGTACCTAAAGTGTAACTTTTGTTCCGTATTAGTACTTAAACCTTCAATGTTGTCAAAATCATACCTAATATTTACTTTTTGTTTCATTTTAGTTTACTTTTTGTTTCATTTTAGTACTCATCGTTAACTTTTTGTTTCATTTTAGTACTTAAATTTTTAACAGTAGGGTACTAAAATGAAACAAAAAGTAAACTTTAGGTATGGTTTTGAAAAAATTAAAAGTTTAGGTACTAAAACATGTAGTTTACCCTAAAAATTAATCTTCAATAATTATTTTAAATTTAATATTGTTGTTAACAAGGAAAAAGTGTTTTAAAATATTGATTTAAATAATACAGGCTTAAAATTTTATTAAAAATATATTTTACTTTTTTATTTTCAACTCGATCCAACAAAATAAAAATGATGGAAACCACAATTCATTGTTTAGAGATGTCCATGGCAGTGGCGTGGTGTGTAGGAAGAAAGGCGTTGGTCACAGGCTTTTTCTCTGAGTGCTGAAATGACAATGAAATGGAATGAATGATCTTGACATTTCAGATTCTTTTGTCAGACCCTCTCTTCTTCTTAATTCTCCCCCTCCTCTTTCACCAACCATTTATTTCTTTTATTTTGCCACCTTCTACTCTTTTACTACCATTCAAATTGCTGACCCCAACAACATTCCCATCCTTATTACCTCTCCCACTTCTCTCTATTCCCAATTCATTGAAAAAGAAAATGGAAAATTTGATCATTCTAAAACCCAATCGAGTACATCGATGGTTAAAGAGAATATTATTCTCTTCAAATATTTTTAATTCGAACAACTGTGTTTATAGAGTAACATACGTTGTCAATTAATCAAGAAAATATTCATAAATTTTTATATATATATTTTATTTTACAATTAATTACCATCATCATTCCATTACAAGAGGATTGGAATAGTTGACAAACATGATTTTGAATCGATTGGATAAATAGACAAACAAAGCAAGTAGAGAGTGGGATTTATTTTGAGTGATTATATAAGTAAATATGTTGGGTTGAAAGGTAGCTGAGTTAATTGAAGTAAATATTACATATTCTAAACGCAAATAAAAGGAAGGATATAAATAAGCATTCATATCCTTTAAGAACACACAAACACATTGGATCAACACTTCTTCTTCACTTCAAACCCTCAAATCGAAACAGCTTGTTTTGCACCGCACCTTCTTAAGCCTGCTTAAAATCCAAATTACCTAATAAATGTTACATTGACCTATGTTTTTACTACATACATACACTATTTTTAAAAATTAAATATATATCTTTTAAACAAAAAAAGTGATTAAAAACTTATACATGTTTAGCTAAAAATTTGAACCTCAAAACTTTTCTTAAAGGAAAAATCCATCGTATATAATCGAAATAACTACGTACTTACATTATTCACCTTGGTGTGGTTGTTCGTTTCCAGCATCAGCCCGAAGTGGATATGAGGGAAATGTGCCCACTACCATACACCAATTAACAATATATATTTTAGTCAGCATAACAGAAAACTGATGATAAATTATGGAAAATAAAATATTTTATATTGAAAAATAATTATTTAATAATGATTATGAGTGTAATAATATTTTGAAAACTAACTTTGAATTATTTGATATGATAAATCATCATTCTAGACATTATATTGTAAGTTTAAAACTTAAATTTATACATTTAAAAGATATCTGAATTCTTTAATATTATAATGTATGAAATATAGCAACATAATATATACTAAAATTTTTAATGATTGTATGTGTTCCATGAAAATATATACTAAAATTTAAAATATTTTCTATCCAAAAATTGATATGATAAAATATAAAAATTTCAAACTCATAAATAATTTATTAATTATATAAAATATAAAAACTATAAATTATATAATAAACTAATATTGGATAATAAATGAAAGTTAAAACTGTAGTTTTAGCTTTAAAAGCACTTTTTAAAAAATATGGATGAAAAATCATAAAAGTGTGACAATTGTAATCAAAAGTTATTGTAAATTCATACTTACATTCTTAGCAGCAGTGCTGAAGGCTTCTCTGTGACTGATATCTGGGTTGTTGGCCTTGATCCTTTGAATCTCCTCTCTACTTTAATCCAAAATTAATCACATCCATATCATATATATATAAATCAACGGTGTACGTTTCAACTTTAGAAGAAATCATACTTGATGAACTGGTTGTACGCAGAAGGTACTCGCTGCCTCTTCTCGGGAGCTGAAAAACAAATATGAAAAATCCATACGCACATTATACAATGGAAAAGCTCAAAAAAGAGCAGCGTTTCGATCAAACATACGTCCGTTCACCACCCTTTCCTCGGTTGCACTGTTAGCGGCAGGAACCGGTCGAATGGAGAACTTATTGCTGCATTTCGACGACGAACCCAGATCTGTCTTGTAATCCTGTATTGCATAATTGGGTGCCTGTAAAAAAAAATAAGTTAATCTAACGCAGTGATCTTACATTGGAGTATAAACTTAAGAAGTTATAATAAAATTTAGATCAGATAGAAAATGTAAGAAAAATATGGAGACTATGTAGGAATTTGGGAGTACGATTGTTGGTTTGGGAGAGAAAGAGAAAAGCAGCAGAACTGGTCATTGAAGTGACTGAATCAGTTAGAATTGTAGCATCATTTAATGTTAGATATCAGACCGGACATAAGCTCGAAACCCTTGAAACAAGGGCCCCTAAGAAACCAATGGATCTCTCTTACAACCCTCACGGTTTTGCCCTCTTCAGATTGTTTCCATTGTTGAAGACAAACTTCTTGGGAACAAGTTATTGAAAACCTAAGTATCGTAACTTACATGTCAATCAAATCAAGCTACCCTAAACCAGACATTAGAAAAACAAATGAAAAGCGTCCAGTTCTGCAAAAAAGCAAACTAGGTTTCGAGCATGGCGGCTGCTAGGGTTTCCAGAAAACTGCAACCATTTCATAATTTTTTATTGCGACCCCGAGTAGCCCTAGGTTTTATAAATTTTATTCTATTTCGACCAGGATCTTATGACCTGAATATATTGCCATGACAGTGACCGAGAAGCGGCGGCTGCCATGTTAACAGACCATAGATTGGTGCAGTTCCCGCATCGGACAGTCACAATATCGAACAGGCTGCTGCACGGAACGCTCACCTGCGCATCAATCCAATAATTAACCCACTTTTTAAAAATATTTTTGCAAATTAAAATTCAGTATTAATCGTAACCAAAAATGAAAGAAAATCACAGATCAGCAAAGATTATAGGAATCTGTTTTCCTTGTGTAATTGATATGCTAGCTTTCTATTTTCTTCCTACATGAAAAAGTATGAAGAAAAACGAGAAAGAAACTAGGTCAGTCGAATATTGGTTAAGGAAGAAGCATAGGGTTTGTGAAAGAAATGCCCTTTTATTTACCAAAAAGAAACATTAGCAAAAAAAAAAAAAGTAAATCTCTAAGCCTTCCCTTCTCTCAGCCCATTGATTTATGACTTTATTTTTTACTGCAAAAGAAGAAAAAGAAAAGTCCAACGATGGAGACTTGACTGGTAAGAAAATGAAAACCCAGAAAGAGAAAATCAAATAGATTTCAGTTAAAAAGAAGGATCAAATCAGTGATCACAGAAGTCGAGGCCAGCTTTTATCAGCATCTATAATGTTCTTTTCCTTGTAAGATATACATGGAGAAAATTCCAACCAAAAAACCAAAAAGTAAACATAAACTACAACATAAAGAGAAAAGAAAAGGAAAAAAAAAAAGCAGATCCCATCCATTAAAAAGAAGAAACTTATGAGATCAGATACCGCAAGTACTATGTTGCAAAAGTTGCAAGGGATATAGCAGAGTTGCTCAGGCACATCGATGCAGCTCGACATATCTTCAAGTGAAAACACAAGAAGAAGAAGAAGAAGAAGAAGAAGAAATCAAAACCAAAGCTTAGAAGCAGCAAACTGATCTCTTCAACCTCAACACTAGAAGAAAGCAACAAAGAAAACCAATCTGTAAGTAGCAAAAACCACAAGAGGAAACCAACACTTGCTTTAAACCCGGGCTATGTATAACAACAGTAAACTAAATGTCTCTTTATATATAGAAAAAAATTATTCGGAGAGAGAACCAGTAAAGGAGGAAACAAAGAGAGAGATAAGATCCAAAGAGAGTAGAGAAAACGCCAAGCAGCTCATATGGTGAAAATAGAAAGGAAAAAAAGCGGGTAATTTGTACACAAGTCGGCAGCACTGGCAGCAAATACTGGGACGTGGAAGGGATGATAAAGGGTGATCTTTTTTTGGTTATGAGAATCCGGGTTTAGCTACAAATAGAATTACTTGGTATTGGTGAGTTAAAGAGATTAGGGTTTGAAGGATAAAAGAAGAAAAGAAAATTTAAAAGTATTACCAAATACTTTCCGGATTAGGGTTTGTTGCTACTATAATGAAAATGTGACACTGACCTTCTGCTACATCCTCAGCGGACGATGGGGGCGAAACTTTTCCCTTATCTCATTCCTTCTTCAACTATATCCATGTGATTTCATTTAACCCATCAAAGCCAGCATTAAGTCGCTGTTCCGGTACGAGTTTCAATATTAGTAACTTTGATATTTAATTTTTTACACCCTGTACTTCAAAATTCATTGGGACACCTGCAAAATGAAAAGTTGTTCTCCCTAAATGATTCAAGTTTAACCGTACGTACATTATTAATAAATTAAAAAAAAGAATCTTAATGAATAATATCTAATGATCACTCTCAAATTATTTAAAGAAAAATTAATTTCAAAACCCATCAAACGATCTAATTGATAAAAGAAAATGTTGTTCTGCTAAAGGTCTCATGTTCAAATAACTGTGTCTAAACAATAAATATTATCTTTTAATCAACCTATACTATTAAAATAAATAAATTTCAACATGTTTGGCATTGTTTGATTTGTATCACATTACAACTATAATTGCCTTTTCATTTCTGTCTGATATCCGGTTCTAGTTCATGGAAAGTTTAGATTAGATTCTAAAGAATTGATGTTATAATTTTAATGATGTTTACATAAATTTGGGGATATTTTTTTAGAAGTCGTCTAACAATTTTTTTATTTTATTCATAATGGGGTAGTAAATTATGATTCATTGATTGTGCATGACACTCATGCACTATGATGCATCAAATATTTCAAGCTCTTTATGAATATGAACTGTACACCTTGTATTCGTGAATGAATGGTAATACTCTTTAGCCCTAACATGTAAAGCTATTTCCTTTTGGCTTTATTGACAATTTGTCCCTTAAATTATACTTATTTTCTCAATTTAGTACGTAACTTATTTCTCTCCAAAGGTTAAGTTAGTTATCCAAATCATTCCAAAATGTTAAAATAAAATGTGAACTAGTAAATATGATATTTCTCTTAACTAAATAATTTTTTTAATATTAATTACAGAATAAGTTTAATATAAAACAAAAACATAACAACATTAATAAAAAAAATCCCTTCTTTTCACATTTCCTTTAACTCTCACTCTCTATAATATTCCTAAACTATCATCTCTTTGTATGATATTCAAACATTGAAATGCAAAAAATTCAAAAATCAATGTTGGACTGTCATGTCGGCCATTATTTTTCGATGATGGTTCAAGTATAAATTTTCTGGTTGAACATCTTTTATAGGAAGTCATATTATCTAAAAAATTTACTATAAAAACTATAGATTTAGGCTTCATTAATAGTTTATCATTGTTTTTTACAAATTGAGATGGGATGTTGGAGACGAAGATGAACAAAAGGAAGAGTTATAAATTTAAATATTAAATGTAATAATTAAATTAAATCAATTTATTACTGTTATTTTTTTTAATATTAAATTGAGATAATATTAAATTTATTATAGTTGCTGTAATAAATTTAATATTATCTCAATTTATTATGTAATAATGTAAATAACCTAACTTTTTGAATATTTCTCTTTGGTTTCTTGACCTTAATTATTTACATTATTTAATAGTACGACTTATAAAGGTTAGGTTATATTTTTAAAGACATGAGGTTTCTTTTTTTCTAAATCTATTAGCTTCTTATGGTTCATTTTTTTTACCTGCACATCCAGCAAGCTGGTATATATGTATAACGTAATGATAAGAAATTTCTAATTACAAGATGATGGACCGTCCAATGTCAAGCGGCATGTAATACATCACATGACTTCAAAATTTAGGAGTCTCACATATAAATGTCATTTATCCCGTTTATGTACAACTTTTGTTCCCTAACAGCATTTTGATTTGAAGGGAAAACAAATTTTTCTTTTGGTTATCGGGAAAATGATAGAAAAAGTTATAAACAAAGACTTTGACAGTATATTTAGTTGTTTTTTTATTGTTTTCCATAATGAATTTTGATAAGAAACCTTCGTAAATTTCTCATAATTTCAAATTTAACAAACTAATCTTTATTATAAAATATTTTAGGGGATACGTTTTAAAAAGTAAGGCATGTGAGAGCCTGACAAGATTATGTAAAATTGTAAGGGAACATACAGTTTTATATAGAAAGAGTGAATTATAAATGATGAAGCCAAAACGGGAACACACAAAATTTAAATCATGAATTATATATACATATATATGAATCATATTAGTAGTCTGTACATGGGACTGAATTTTCCATGCACATGTTATGAGATCGAGAACACGTGAGCCTCTGGCTAATGCCTGTTTACCTTAAATTTTAGACTTAATAAAATATTAATATGAATTAGGGCCTAACTTGATTTCCTGTTGGTCAAGCATAAAGGGTTGGTGATATAAAAGTATTGTTATAAAATAATTTGTTAGTATTGACCAGAAAATAAAATAATGGAAATGGGATAAAATTTGTTTTTTTTTTCGTTAGAGCTATTGCTTTAGAAGTAAACTTGTCATGGTTTATAATCCTTAAAAGTAGAAGTTGTCCCTAAAGTAACACAATCATTTAAAAAAAATTTACTCGTGAGAAATACAATCTTTTCGGAAAAAAATGTTTTTACAATTTAGAGATAATCATATTCGAGTGAATAGTTATAAATAAAACACTCTAACAATGACAACTTTAGGATTCGAAACTAAAAAAAGTTTAATATCACTTATTTTAACAAATAGAAGAAAGTTTTTCCTTTTGGTTGCCTCCTGATTTGAAGGTTTTGCCTTGATTAATCCAGACCGATCTGCGTCACACATCTGGTTTTAGTAGGTGAGTTTCCCAGCAAGGATTTTTTGCATACACAATGACTCAAACTTGAGACATTACTTAAACGATATCAAGCTGCTTACCATTTGGAACTAACCCTGATGGTAAATAGAAGGAATTCTTTTGACTTTAAACACAAATCCACATTTGTAAATATTTATAAAAAATGCAATCTCAAATTATATCATATTACACGTTAAAATTAATTATTTTAAATGATTATAAGAAGAGATAAAACAATTATAAAACCCCACAAAATAATAATAATAATAATAATAATAATAATATAAATGGACACAAAAATAAGAAAATGAGAAAACAGGGAATTATTAGGATATATTTCTTTGTCAGCTTAGGCAACTTGATTGAAAATATAAGGTGAGCAATGCCTGTTAGGGTCGAGTCGCTTTCTATGTCTGCTGCAATAAATAATCATCAATTTCTAAATGGTAATACTAATTTTATGTTACAAGAACGTTGTTTCTAAATAAATTTTATAATATAATACGTCATATCTGCCGTTCTTTAAAACAGTTTTATTAAAAAAAGTTATTTTTTAGTATTTTTTTCTAATTACATTTTTATATTAAAAATGTTATTTAAATTACTTGCTTTATAAAAAAAATAAAGAAACTTGACTTAATACTTAACTTTGGTTTTTGATAAGCCTAGCTACCAAATTATATTTTGTATAATACACAAAGACTATGTGACTCACCTACATGTGAAGATTTGGTATTGAAGGTAATTAATTTGCTTGGAAAAATAGCAACCGCTCAACCCTCTAAGTTTGCCTGTCTTCATTCGGTTTTAAGAGGACAATAACACCAGTTATCTAATCTCTTAGTTTGTGGTCCTGTCTGCTCTTTAGTACATTTTTGTTTTCATTTGAATAAACTCATTTCAGATCGAGATCAAATTTGAGAGAAACAACGGATCTATTTATTTTATAATATATATATATATATATGATTTTATGTAAGTGATTCGAACTTATTAAATATTTTAGGCGAGAGAAATTTTAAAAATTTTAAAGAACGAAAATAAATTATCTTTAAAAAATACTTAAACTATAAGAAAATTTTAAATTTTAAGGGGACGATCGCCTCCACCAATCCTCTTTAGTCCATCTTTAGAGATACACATACAAGAATGAATCCTGAGCATTTTGTGCTGCACTAAAATATGATTTTAATTAAATTATATTCTAATAAAAATACAATTTAATATCTTATAACTTATCTTTTAATTCAATTTTATATTATTTAAAAAATATTTATAGGTAAACTAGATTCTAATAAAATATTTAAAACAACTCTTTTGTAATATTTGTCTTTTTTTTAAATATATATATATATATATATATATATATATATATTTGTCTTTTAAATGGGTTTCTATAATAAAATATAATGTATATATATTAAGGTTAAAGTACACAAATGGTCCCTGATTATAAGATACTGTTTTGTTGAGTCTCTCGACTATTAACTATTATAAAATGGTTCTCTGACTATAGGGAGTTGCTTTGCTGAGTCTCTCAACTATTAAAAGTTACAAAATGGTCTCACAACTATTCATTATGTTTCAAACTTCGTTAAAATTTAATGGTAGTTTGGGCTAGATGTTAATTTACTAATATATGATAAAA